GTTTCAATAAAATATAATGCTAACTAAATACGAAATCTATTAACTACCAAATTCTTAATGTTTCTATACTCTCTTTTACTTATTATTGCCGACAGTTTCCTGTAAATTCCGTCCAAATCCTACGTCCAACCATACGCTGCCGGCGCCATTGCTTTCGCGGCGCGACTGTTGCACGCTTACACTAATATATATAGTTAGGGCTTAACTAAACGCTTAAACTATATATATTAACGCTTATATATACTTACAAAACATATGTATACTTACGCTTATATATACTTACAAAATATATACGCTTATAAAACTATATATATTAGTGTAAGCGTGCAACAGCCGCCCCGCGAAAGCAATGGCGCCGGCATCGTATGGTTGGACGTAGGATTTGAACGGGATTTACAGGGAACTGTCGGCAATAATAGATGAAGGAGAGTATAGAAACATTAAGAATTTGGTAGTAAATAGATTTCGTATTTAGTTAGCATTATATTTTATTGAAACGCTTCAAGTGCCTGCGGTGTAGTGGATCCATTAATAGCAAGCGGTGGCTAGGCACCCTATACACGTCCTTCGACTACCGCTGCAGCTGTCACCCGCAATATCGTGCTTCCGAGTCGCATTACATCGATTTTTAAATTGGTTGGGTCGAAAATAAATAATATATTGCTACTAGTAGTAGCGATGGAATCGCGTATAGCGTTGACATCACTCGTCAGAAACCAGCACGCTGTTAACCGATGCGGCATCGTGACTTGCAGCGATGACTGTGCGTACGATATCCACGATACGATCATCGTCGCGATTCTGTCGCGATCTGGTCGCCACTTGCCGCGAGCTGTTGAGATCGTGTGCTTTGGATGTGATGTTTTTAACGCTCGTTAGTATCGATGTACGCTATATCGAGAGTGAATAAAATCAACCGTATCTTAATTCAGTCCTGGATGTATGCAATTATGCATATAAGGTACTAGCGGGATACCCGGCGTTGCCCGGTGAAATCAGTGGCGTTACTCAGTTGGTGACCGCTTGGTTGAAAGGAAAATGCCCAAAAAAAGCGAACTATCTATCTATCCATGCATCCATCCATGCATCCATCCATTCATCGCATTCTATGCCATCCCATCCCATCCCATCGCACCGCATCCCACCTCATCCCATCCCATCCCATATTCCATCCCATCCCATCGCATGCCATCTGATCGCATCTCAGGCCATGCCATGCTATCCCATCGCATCGCACCGCATCCCATCCCATCCCATCCCATCCCATCCCATCCCATGCCATGCCATCCCATCGCATGCCATCCCATCCCATCCCATCCCATCCCATCCCATGCCATGCCATCCCATCGCATGCCATCCCATCCCATCCCATCCCATCCCATCCCATGCCATGCCATC